TATGTCTCTATGCTTCGGAAGTACACCCCGGATCAGACTCATGTGGTGGATTGGGGAAAACTTGTTGTTGATGCTGATGGGACTTTCGAGGAGGGACCGGTGCGCATCATGGATAGTCGGGAACAGATTTTGCGAGGCAAGACCGTGCGGCTAGTGAAGGTGTTGTGGCAACATCGAGGAGTAGAGGAGGCAACATGGGAGCGCGGGGACACTGTCTGTACCAATTATCTTTTTTTGTTCGAGGATGAATGTACATTCTTATGGTCATTTAGCGTTATTTGACTGTTGTATATGCATGTGATTGTATGTGCATGTGTATGTGAATTTCAGGGACGAAATTTTTTAAAGGGGCAAGAATGTGAAATCTGGGAAAAATTTTAACTTTTTCTTAAAAAATGGCAAAATGGTAATTTGTCATTTAGTGCAGGTTAAAAATTGATATTTTTCTAGATATCGGATGATGAAATGGACCTCACCGTTGGATTTGTCTCGAGAAATTTAGTTACCCAGACAAATTTTGTAGAATTCTGAGATAGTCTGATTTTTCACGTTTTTCGAGATGACAGGTGTCCGGTGACCCCTAAAAATGAAATTTTTATAAAAATTTTGAAAGTTAAAAAATATTTTAAATAAAGTTCATATAAAATATTTTGAGCTTAAATCGGTACAAAATTTAATCATTTCGGAGCGAAAAACGGATCTGAACAAAATAGGACACTTAGCGTGACAAGGGTCAAGTCTTTAAAAGTATAAAATGGACAAATATCTGAAAATTCCGCTATTTCCTACCCATTTTCTGGCTGTTTTCAGACGTTGGAGGAAGAGAAGAGAGAAAGAGAGTTTTCAAGTTTTTCTTCCGTCGATTCGCTAGGGTACGTCAGTCGGAATCGCTTGAATTTAGAATTAAAGTTAGTCTACGCAACGAGGGCTACGCATGGGTACCAAAAATGAAGGATTTCACTGAAGGTCTAAAGGGGAGATTTTGGAAAAATTAAGTCCTGGTGGGTATTTTATTGAGCTCAAACCGAAAGGAAGAAGAAGAAGTGGTGCTGTCAATCCTAGACAGTACATGAGTTTCTTATTCATTTCATAAGCTACGATTATTTAATAATTTTGGAATTTTGAGGTTATAATGTAGACTGAAAAATGATTCGTTTGGTTTTGGTTTCAAGTAAAATGGAGATAAATACGAGTTTTGGTGATTTTTGAAAGTTAACCCCAGCCTATAGAAATTGATCTGCAAATCTGGACAGCATGTAGTTTCTTAATTGTTTTTNCTCTGTAGGAGTTTTTCTATTGAGCGTTGGCTCACCCTATATGGGAAACATTTCAGGTGAGAGAGGTACACCGGTGGATGGCTCAAATTTGGACCCACTTGTTTGAAAAAAGTCAAACCAAATTTGAGTCATCCACTGGTGTATCTCTCCCACCTGAAATGTTTCCTATATAGGGTGAGCCAACGCTCAGTAGAAAAACTCCTACAGATGCTACTTCCCACCTAAATTGTGTATGCAATACGCACATGCAACAAACAACTTCTTCCAAATAAGAATATGTTATTCAAAATAGAATCTCATGATGTCATACCAAGTAATGAGATGAAACTCACTCATGCATGTTATCCCGAGCCCACACCGACTCTCACAACACAATGCGACTCATATGTGTAAAACAAACGTCTTTGATGAAACANTTTTCTATTGAGCGTTGGCTCACCCTATATGGGAAACATTTCAGGTGAGAGAGGTAAATGTTTCCTATATAGGGTGAGCCAGCGCTCAATAGAAAAAATCCTACAGAGGCTACTTCCCACCTAAATTGCGTATGCAATACACACATGCAACAAACAACTTCTTCCAAATAAGAATATGTTATTCAAAATAGAATCTCATGATGTCATACCAAGTAATGAGATGAAACTCACTCATGCATGTTATCCCGAGNATTCATTCTTGGATGCTTGTCATCAAATGAATAATTTATATATCAAAATCATGTGCCTTTATGGGGTATTGGATTNCTGAGCCCACACCGACTCTCACAACACAATGCGACTCATATGTGTAAAACATACGTCTTTGATGAAACACATCCAAAGATCATTTTGAAATCAACCATATGTCATAAAACCAATTCATTATTGGATGCTTGCCATCAAATGAATAATTTATATATCAAAATCATGTGCCTTTATGGGGTATTGGATTTTGGAATCGCACCTCCGGTTCCGTACGCCGTTACACTTTTCTGAAATTTTACCGTCGGTAAGTGTATGAACCAAATAGCCGGGTTTTTCACTCGAGAGAGTGTCTAGTCCTACTTGCTATACCCGACATAAATTTTTTTATGCATGTAACCGTGCGAGTCCGTAGGACGTTCCATCCCACTTTCCTGAGCCTACCATCAAGTACCATTGTTGGTGNATAGCCGGGTTTTTCACCCGAGAGAGTGTCTAGCCCTACTTGCTATACCCGACATAAATGTTTTTATATATGTAACCGTGCGACTCCGTAGGACGTTCCATCCCACTTTCCTGAGCCTACCATCAAGTACCATTGTTGGTGTTGATCACCCCTTGCAACCATAAACTCATACTCATGCATGTAGCCCTTGAATGTGATGCTATGTCATGCCCAATGTGCAATGTTGCCCAATGAGCTAGATCAACTACATATATAGACAATATCATGGTAATTCTTATCATAAGCATATAAATTTCATGAATCATTACAATGTCAATATATATAAACAACACATTCTATAAGCATGTTATACATTGTCATGTCATAACAACCTTAATTCACACTTAGGCATTTTAGCAAACACCTTCTAGGCAACAATCATGTAAGCATACAATATTGCCCCCACACANTTATCATAAGCATATAAATTTCATGAATCATTACAATGTCAATATATATATAAACAACATATTCTATAAGCATGTTATACATTGTCATGTCATAACAACCTTAATTCACACTTAGGCATTTTAGCAAACACCTTCTAGGCAACAATCATGTAAGCATACAATATTGCCCCCACACACATCAAATATCAAGGAATTATTTACAGAACTCCTACATAATAAATTTAACTAGAATTTTGTCCATACTTAATTCACCATTTCCATGACTATAGGCAAGTTATAAAATATTTTATACCACTAACCATTTCATACGAGTATTCTAGATTAAGAATCAATCCAAATAGAAGAAATCCTACACAATATATATAACATTTTAAATATGAATGAACCAAAGTAGGAGAATCCATGCCTTAATAGAAGTGCAAAATGAGTGTAGAAAGTCTCAAGAACACTTCCTCTCTTGTTCAGTTTTAATGTCACATGTAGGGTTCTTTTCTAACTAAGCGTAGACATTTAGCATTTTTTAACATTCTGTAGCTAACCTACATGAATTAAAACAACTCTAACTCTAGTTATTAAAATTCAATTCTAACAAAATATGTGGGAGATGAACATATACTCATAGGAATTATCTTTCACCAAAAATCACTATTTTTGAACACTAAATACCTGTTCCAGGTAACTCTTAAACTAAGTGTAAGTTACAGAATTTTCAGGTTCCAGCAGGTCATAATCATTTTTAGAAATTCACCAAAAATAGAGTTTTCATCCTTTTGGCATGAGACCAAAGCCAAAATAACCCTTTATGAATTTATTTCAAACCCTCAAAGTTTAAGATTCAAAAACAAACTCTAACTCATAAAAGCAATTACGAAGCTACATGATGTCCAGATTTTTCATATTAGTTTCTATAGGCTGGGGCTAACTTTCAAAAATCACCAAAACTCATATTTATCTCCATTTTACTTGAAACCAAAACCAAACGAATCCTTTTTCAGTCTACATTATAACCTCAAAATTCCAGAATTATTAAATAATCGTAGCTTATGAAATGAATAAGAAACTTACCTACTGTCTAGGATTAACAGCACCACTTCTTCTTCTTCCTTTCGGTTTGAGCTCAAGAAAATACTCACCAAGACTTAATTTTCCCAAAATCTCCCCTTTAGACCTTCGGTGAAATCCTTCATTTTTGGTACCCACACGTAGCCCTCGTCGCATAGACCAACTTTAATTCTTGGTTCAAGCGATTCCGACCGACGTAGCCTAGCGGATCGACGGAAGAAAAACTTGAAAACTCTTTTTCTCTCTTCTCTTCCTCCAACGTCTGAAACCAGCCAGCAAATGGGTAGGAAATAACTGAATTTTCAGATATTTGTCCCTTTTATACTTTTAAAGACTTGACCCTCGTCGCATCAAGTATCCTCTTTTGTTCGGGTCTGTTTTTCCCTCCGAAACGATTAAATTTCGTACCGATTTAAACTCAAAATATTTTATATGAACTTTATTTAAAATATTTTTCAACTTTTAAAATTTTTATAAAAATTTCGTTTTTAGGGGTTACCAGACACCCGTCACTTCGAAAAACGTGAAAAATTCGACTATCTCAAAATTTGTCTAGATAAGTAGATTTCGCGAGACGAATCCAACGGTGAGATCCGTTTCATCATCCGAGGTCTAGAAAAATATCAATTTTTAACCTGCACTATAATGACAAATTACCATTTTACCATTTTTTAAGAAAAAATTAAAATTTTTCCCGGGTTTCGCAGCTCAGGCGACTTCTAGAAACAATCCGTCATCACTTCATTTGTCACTCTTGGTCCTCACAACCTATTCCAAGTAACAAGATTGACCACTCAATTGACGGACTCGTGTTTACCACGGAAGAGATCTGTTATCGTTTATATTGTGCAGGATCGTGCACGCACAATTACCATCCGAAACCGTGCATAAATTTATAACCTGGTTTATTTGAGTGCATTACTATCTGGTTCTTCTCTCATTTCAACGACTGTAAGTACCATTCTCTTACCTCGGAATTCAGGACACATCTCTCTCTCTCACACACACACACACACGCAACAGGGTATTGGCCATTACTAGTCTACAATGTGGATGGTGGGCTGCGATGCTGAAGAGTTTAAGTTGTCTCATTCACCAAAGAGTCGAAAACTTCGGCCCTCTCATGCCCAGTCCTACTCCTAACAATACCAAAAGTACTTCGTATTCTACAAAACCAACTCCTTACTGTGATCGAATTCACAGTGCTGATATTTTTGCATGGAATCACCATAATGGTATGTCGCCATTTTTCTCTTACTTTTTTCTTTTTTTCTCGAAAAATCGTTTCAACCATGTATCTTTTGAACCCGTGATGAGAGTTTGTTCTCGCTATAGTTGCAGCAACTGAGCAGAGTAAGAAAGAGATACCCACAGAACCCTTAGTGAGTTCAAGGTGGAACCCAACTCCAGAGCAGTTACAAACCCTAGAAGAGATGTATAGAAGTGGAATAAGAACACACCCACGGCTGATCAAATCCAAGGGAAGAATGTATTCTACTGGTTTCAGAACCACAAAGCAAGAGAAAGGCAAAAACGACGTCGTATACTAGAGGTATTTTCAAAACAACAACCACCTAAGATTGAAAACCTACCGAGAAAAGAATCAGGTAACAACATACATATGATTAATGCCCAAAATTCTCACCATTATTGCTATTTATATATCGGCACCAACTTAAAGTTGAATTCCTTTTGTTTTTTCTTTCTTTTTGTCTGCAGGGTTTGAAGTTGGACAGAAGAACTGGGCAACCCCTTCAAATTGCAGTACAATTTCAGAGGTTTCAATACTGTTACATTTATCTGGTGTTTTTTTTTCTCATTACTCATTTGAACTCAACAACTAGCTACTGTATCATATCCCCGAAAAGACAATGGTGACTAACCATTGAGGGATATGAGAAATGATTAAACTTGAGACCTCTGATTATTAAAGGATATGCCTAACTACTAGACCACTCCTAAAAATTATATTTATTTTGTGCTTGTTCATGTTGTAACACCTTTAAACTTAGTTAATCAGAGATATCTACTCAATATCCCTAACCAATCGAAACGGAATACGTAACATTCTTTCTCACCCAATTGGCTCGGGCCAACCTTGATATAGACAATCGCACGCCTAAAGTCTTATGAACCTGTACGACACTTGCACCACCCAACCAACATGGAATCTGACACCTCTCTCGCTATTACAAGGTCAACTCACTACAAATTCAATAATTATGATTTATTAGATTAATAAATTAAATTTAAATAACATTTTATTGTGTAAAATGGAAAAGCATAAGGGGTAGAAAAGCTGCATTCCTTACATTCTGTTGGGGGCCTGGAGACTATTATTTGCAAAAAAGGGTAGTTTTTTTTGGACAGTTGCGTGAAACATAGTTCGCTTTAATTATTTTGTTGTCTTTAGGACTCTGAATCAATACACAGAGCAGTGGTAGCTGAAAGTAGACCAGATGGGTGGCTTAAAATTGAGGAGAGAGAATTGCAGCAGAATGCAATTACTGCATCAAAGAATGCAATGCGGCAGATGACAAACTCAAGCTCTATGTCTATGTCTATGTCTATGTCCCCCACCACCAAACTCATCATGAAGGACATAACCACAACTGAACAAGAAGATCTGGTAACAACAGACCCAAAGCTGAGAAGCACTCAAAATCTACGCCTATTAGAAGATATGACAATGGTTGAAGATGATGAAACTAGAGGGTTTCAAACACGTCAGCTCTTTCCAATGAAAAGTGATGATGATTGTGGTGCCCTTAAGGGTGACAAAAATGATATTGTTGAAGAACCCATTACTGCTACCATAGCCATTGGAACACACTTCAAGCCAAACAAGTTTTTTGAGTTACTGTGAAGAATTGATGGGAAAAAAAAAAAGAGCAATGCTATTGGGATTTAATTTACTAACATAATTTGTTGACCTAATTCATTGTAACATTTCTTCCACCAAATATTGGAATTTGGTGTTGATCCAATAATTTCCACGAAGTCACATATTATGTCAGCAAATTAGATCAAATTTTTAGGTCCAAATAGTGTTATTCAAAAAAAAAAAAAAGAGCATATTGCTAGCTTTGTGGTTGAAAAGAAGAAGTGTGTTGCTTCATGCATGGCTGTGATGATAAAAACAGCAAAAATATCGTTTTGCTTTTGTCTCTTGGTGGAAATTGGGACTTTCTATTATTTACAAGTAATGAAACGACTGGATAATGACATATGATTAGAATCTTATGGACCGGGACCCACTCTAGTATATATATATATTTTATTTTCTTTCATTCTAGTTAAATCACGTATCATTAATTCAAGTTCAACTCAATGTATATAGATCTCTCACTGTCACTAATAAATAATAGATGATTTGATGAGAAAAACAAAAAAATTATGTATTTGATGAGATTTTGATCCGGATGTTATGCTCATTTTTAACTACCACGTTCTTAATCTATTGTAAATTTTAACTTAATTATTTGTGACGTTATTGATACTTGCATAAAAACATGGTTTTTATTTTTTGGTGAGACACTATTGCAGAGAAAGGGAAGTAGGGGACGACGAAGTTTGAATTTGCAACCATTAAGTCAATTGCTAACCTCGCATAAAAAATGTGTTGTTTTGGTCGGATACTTACCAGTATCGTCGTTCTATATTTTTATCCACTAAAAATATTACACGCAAAAAGTTATTTATTTTATTAGTTTGCATTATTTTGTTATTTTTTTTAATGAATTGTTACTAATCGTTAAAACGAATAAACAGTTAAAGATCAAGTTCAATGTTTTTTTTTTATTTTTTAAAGGTTAGTCATCCTTATTTCTTAGGGAACATGTTTCAAACCCATTAAGGCTACAGTGACCAATATCTAAATTTTAGGGTGTAATCGATACAAGATTAAACATCCTATAATCTAAAAAAAAAATTCAATACAACAACTACAAGTAATCTTAATGGAAGTAAAGGAAAAATTATTTGCTTCAAATAAAGAATCGAAAAGAGGCTGTCCAGTAAATATGTTCAATAAAAAAAAAAGGTAAACTAAATTTTACCCTAAAAAGTGATAAGATCCACCTTAAAAAAATGTGAATAGTGAGTCTAAAAAATAATAAGCAGACTCAAAACACAATTACACCCAAAAGTTTAGTAAACTCTCCAAAGAACCAATAAGATGCAAAACACCACCACGCTCCAAAGAACCAAGAAGTGAATGGAAACAATCTACCGTAAAGATCCCCAAAAATAAATAAATAAAGAATTGAACAAGTTACTGTGCAGCGAAGATATGACTCAATTAAGATATATTAAATTTGTGGTTACCTATAAAAATCTGTTACAATTTCGCATTGGTTAAAGATTAAACGTAAATGTTTGAATTCTTGGGCACCTTATGATTTTTAGGGTACCTTTTATTTATAAACAAGTTTTCAGGGATAAGTTCTACTCATGAGTTCATAATAATTGATATTAAAATTAATCATCAAGTTAAGTATGAATATCAAATGCAACGTAAACCGTAATTTTTTGTGGGAGCCACCATTGGCTGAATTAAGTGCAATAAGCAAGACAAAGGGTACCCCGTAACTCCCTCTATTTTGAGTGTTTGTCTGTGGGGACTATAAGCTAGGTGTAGGAATTCAAAACCACAGGGATGGGAATTGAACCATCATCACATCTTAGGTTTGGTAGCCAATTGTCTGTGTTTGCCTACATTTCCTTCATCTTTAGGTTTGGTAGGCATTGGCTAGCTTGGACAGTTATTACGAGTAATGACCTAAAAATTTGATCTAAGTTGTTGATATAATGATGTGATTTCATATGAATTATTGGATCAATACTAAATTTTAATGTTGAATGGAGTCTATAGTGAATTCAAATGTCACAATAAATTATATTAATAAATTAGATCCCAATAGCATTGCTCTAGTTATTATTGAAGAATTCTCTTACTTGGCCAGTTGGCCCCTTTTGAGTCCAAGTTAAAATTAAAAAAATAAATTATTATTTTTGAGAATATTTTTATCCCATTTTTTTTGGATAAATATATTTTTATCACTATTATACTAACTATTTTTATCATTTCTCTAAGTACAAAAAAAATTACCTTTTTTTGGGTGATTTACCACTCTTGTATGTGTTTTTATCACTGTTGTGGGTTTTTTTATCACTACTTTGATAACTATTTTTACCATTTTTTTTTGGTGTCACAATAGTTGTACAAATATTCATAAAAATAATCAATATTAGTATGATACCAAAAAAAAAAAAAAAAAATGGATACAGTAGACAACTCCCGGTACCATACCTTTACCCGTGCTAGTCTCTCTTGATTCAACTACGAACAAAAGGAAACATAATAGAAAAATGTTATGTTGCCCAAGTCTTAGCGCAAATCTTGTATCTCAAATGTAGGTGTACCACACAATAAATAAAAAAATTAATTTTTTGTGACCTACAAAGTAAAAAGTTGTCACATGGACATCGGCATGTTGTAGCCAAAAAAAAAATCAATTGGAGTAGGCCAACTCATTTCAATTAAATATTTAAAAATTAGGGAAAAAAAAAATTTTAGAAGGAAAAGTTTCTTAATCACTCTCTCCTAAATTGATTCTTACAATCTATAGTATAAAACATAGATAGATACAATAAGAGAACTGTATATATTTCCTCCAACTTTAGATCATGAGCGATCAACTCAACTCCCTCTGATTTTAATTTCAACAAATTATCACCTAAAAGTTTGAATATACTTCAATTAACCTAAGCCTGAAAAATGACAAAAGTTAATCATGTGCAAGTCACATGATCTGAAATAAAAATAATAAATAAATTTGACATCCTAAAAAAGATTTTAAAAAATAAATATTTTTGAAAAACATAGATATTGTCTTTCGCAAGGGTGATGTTTAGGAGTTATTGATGAAAAAACTAGATGCAGCCATTGGAAAGAGGGGTTTTCGTCGACCGTGAAGCAGGGGGTTTGTTGAAAAGGGAAAGAGAAGGAGGTCTGGCGTCTGGATTGGAAAATGCAATTATTTATACATGAGGAATTTTTATTAATTATGAATAATTTTATATTTTCATTAAATATGAGATCATGTGATTTGCACNATATTTTCATTAAATATGAGATCATGTGATTTGCACATGACTGACTTTTGTCATTTTCATTGCCAAAGTTAACAACCTGGGTTAATTGAAAAATATTATAACTTTTGAGGAGATTCAAACTAGAGGGAGTTGATTGTAATATCATCCAAAGTTAGAGGAAAAATTCTATAATTGACCCAAAAAATAATATTATTTAGACTTAATTTTTTTTGATATAATTT